ACGCACGCACGCACGCACGCACACACACACACACACACACACACACACACACACACACACACACTTACGAATGCTGTTTCTAGTTCTTTTTTACTACATACTGTTAGTGTTGTTTTGTCGCATTGTAATCTTTTGCAATTGAGGGCCTACTTCGGCTCCATTTCGCCGCATCAAGTGCATGTAACGCTGTCTATGTTGCATTGTTTTTCCTTACTCGCAGTTTAAGGGCGAATATTCAGGGTTTCCTGGCTCCCTCGGCTGGAGAGCTTCCGTAAGAGATTATTCACAGCTCGGAAGACTCGAACAAGGACGCACGCACGCACATATTCCTGTGCACGCGCCGGGATCGGTGAAGTGTCCCGGTTTGCGATATCTGCACCGTGGGGATGGGCATGGGGCGGAGGGTGGGGCCACCAGTGTTGCGGGCCATAGGGAACCCTTTTGCTAGTGGCGACACCGCGGGGACGCTACTGGAACCTATTTGCTGGAAGTCACACAAACGTCAATAACCCAATGACCATTTAAATTTCAGATCAGATCTGGAGGGGAGAGCGTGGCGCCCCGGTTCGCAGCTTCTGAAGGTGCGGGCTCAGGTCTGTCGCTGCTGGAGTGCGGCGTCCGGGTCTGTCGCTGCTGGAGTACGGCGTCCGGGTCTGTCGCTGCTGGAGTGCGGCGCCCGGGTCTGTCGCTGCTGGAGTGCGGGCTCAGGTCTGTCGCTGCTGGAGTGCGGCATCCGGGTCTGTCGCTGATGGAGTACGGCGTCCGGGTCTGTCGCTGCTGGAGTGCGGCGCCCGGGTCTGTCGCTGCTGGAGTGCGCGCTCAGGTCTGTCGCTGCTGGAGTGCGGCGTCCGGGTCTGTCGCTGCTGAAGTGCGGGCTCAGGTCTGTCGCTGCTGGAGTGCGGCGTCCGGGTCTGTCGCTGCTGGAGTGCGGCGCCCGGGTCTGTCGCTGCTGGAGTGCGGGTTCAGGTCTGTTGCTGATGGAGTGCGGCGCCCTAGTCTGTCGCTGCTGGAGTGCGGCGTCCGGGTCTGTCGCTGCTTGAGTGCGGCGCCCGGGTCTGTCGCTGCTGGAGTGCGGCGTCCGGGTCTGTCGCTGCTGGAGTGCGGAGCCGGGGTCTATCGCTGCCGGAGTGCGGCGCCCGGATTTGTCGCTGCTGGAGTGCGGCGCCCGGGTCTGTCACTGCTGGAGTGCGGGCTCAGGTCTGTCGCTGCTGGAGTACGGCGCCCGGGTCTGTCGCTGCTGGAGTACGGCGCCCAGGTCTGTCGCTGCTGGATTACGGTGCCCTGGTTTGTCGCTGCTGAGTGCAGAGCCCGGTCTGTCGCTGCTGGAGTGTGGCGCCCGGGTCTGTCGCTGCTGGAGTACGGGGCCCTGGTCTGTCGCTGCTGAGTGCAGCGCCCGTGTCTGTCGCTGTTGGAATACGGCGCCCGGGTCTGTCGCTGCTGGAGTGCGGAGCCCGGGTCTATCGCTGCTGGAGTGCGGAGCCCGGGTCTATCGCTGCTGGAGTGCGGCGCCCGGGTCTGTCGCTGCTGGAGTGTGGCGCCCGGGTCTGTCGCTGCTGGAGTGCGGAACCCGGATCTGTCGCTGCTGGAGTGCGGCGTCCGGGTCTGTCGCTGCTGGAGTGCGGAGCCCGGGATTGTCGCTGCTGGAGTGCGGCGTCCGGGTCTGTCGCTGCTGGAGTGCGGAGCCCGGGTCTGTCGCTGCTGGAGTGCGACGCCCGGGTCTGAGGCTACCAGGTTGCGGCGCCCGGGTCGGGGAGTGCAGCAGTCAGGTCTTCAGACATCAGCTCTGGGAAAGGAGAGTGCGGCAGGTACAAAAGCCTTCCGCTGTCTGCTGCCCGGGTCTGGATGTCTGCCACATGGATCGGTCGTTGTTGAAGAAGAAGAGCTTGATACCAAGATCCCCCGAGAATCGTTGGTCACCACTCGATCACCGGACCTGCCTGGCTGCTTAGTGAAGTCCGAACTCTCCGAGCTACTCAGAGAGGAACCTGTTATACGGCCACGGCCGCGACGTGCCTGGCCGCCGGCGGCCTGCGGCCTGTGCGGCCGACCGGTTTGTCTTACCTGACTTGGGCCGGTGGCTGGATCGACTCATCTGATCGCAGCGCACGGCGCCTTACAGCTGCGCAGCACTTCACAGGCAGATGGCCGCTCGCCCGCCCAAGGCCGCTGGCTGCCGCCGACGTGGCGGCGGCCCACCAGGCGGTCACTGACGTATGGCAGCGGACGTTGCATGCGATAAGACGGCAGCAGAGTTCAGGCCTAGTCAGAACCGAGTGGCACGACGCAAGCGCTGGCTAGCTCAGGCACCTCTGGGCCAGACAGCGCGTCCTCGTGCAGGACCCCGAGACAGGTCTGCCTGGCGCCGATGGCTGGCGGGGGAGACGTCACGGTCGTAGACAGGGGATGAGACTGCCCACGGGTGCATGTGCTGGGGCAACCGGCGGTATCTCCTGCCTTCGACGACTCGTGACGGTTTCGCAGAGTGGCAGCAACTTGTGAGACAGCAGTGGTGGCGACTGCCTCATCGCAGGCGGTATCTCCTGCCTTCGACGACTCGTGACGGCCTCGCAGAACGTCGTCAGCGGAAGTGGCGACAACATCAGCGATGGTGGCAGCCGCGACGACGATGGTTGAGATGGCGCTGGATATGCGATCAGTACATGTCACGCCGCACAATCCTACGTCCGTTAAAGACGCGGGTGTAGCCCAGCGCGTCCGTCGGCTGAGATATTGACCGCCCACGAGTCATCCGTTCCAGGCCGCGCTTTTTTAAGGACCCCACGGGAGCCACGACGAACCGAAAGCCGTAGAAATCTAGCCATGTTTGAGACATAGAAATATGTCGTGAAATACTGTGGCGACAGAATATTTCAGAATTTGACTTGCATATTGCGAGCATGCACCTTTAAAAACGAAAAGGCGACACATGACGCATGGCTATGATTATGTCGATGCTGCATAGGTGCAGCTAGAATTCTCTTAAGGGAGGAGCGGAACCCGGCGAGTAGGCATCATGCCGATCTTGTACTTCCTGTCCGGAGAGACACCTGTGACGAAAAAAATACTGGCATGGAGAGGGGCCTGCCTCTCTTGACTGCGCCCTTGCTATGCTGCCTACCCACACATGGTAGCCTAGCGTCAACAGACCCGCGCAATGACTGCGTAGAGTTCCGTGGGAAAGGGGAAACCAGTATCGGTCACCCGACCGTCAAGCCGATTCTGTGTGGAGTTTTAGACTAAGACTAAGGCTTTTGTATGACCTGCGCTATCGTGGCTGATCATACACTGAGCAAAGTTTCAGGCGTCTTAACAGATTGCGTCATGGAGGATGGAGTTCCATAAACTTTTGTTAGAAAGGTGAATCCCAAAATGCTTATATAACGATTAACGCTTACACGTAGCAAATGTATTGACGCAATTGCAGCATCTTACCTTCAGAGTCCAGCCTTTCGTATGCGCCGCGCCAACAGCCACGAAGCACGCATGCCTTCCGTTGAGCTGTATGCAGTTACGAAGCATGCACGCATGCTGGCCAGCCGCTGACCTGGTGCTGACCTGAACACTAGAACTCAGGAGGCTTCAAGAGGGTTTTCCTACCGCCTGGTCTAGTCCCACAGACTACTCTCATTTGTTATGCTAATCTTAGTATTATTTTTGGGTGCTTATGCTGTGAAACGAAGTTCTCTGTTCACCTCAGATGCTCCCAGATACGTCATAAATGATAAACATATCGAAATGTTATATACCAAGTACTCCTTGTTACGTCATTGTTTGCTTGCGTTATAATAGTCTTTATGACGTCAGAGTCGTTGCAAGACTGGTCGTGTCATAATTGCCATTACCGAGGGCGCCTGACTCACTTGCAGCACCTTAACTTGTCACCAGATCGCTTTTTAGTTGTGTGTGAAAAACCTATCATGATTATGAGTACGTTTTGTATAAATTTCCGCGATGGCATGTTTCTTGCATCTGTCCCCTCGACGTCCGTCTTAAGGTATGAATATATGTCTTAACTACACCTACCAGAACGATCGTTTTAAGCATTCGTAATCTCTGGTGACCTCACGTTTGGCCGAAAGTGAAACATTTGGTGTACATTCTCCATGATTTGACGCGATCTTCACAACGATGCCTTTGTTCTTCTCGTGCAACGTCTGGAAGTTCGGGATCACAGGCGAAGTCAACGCCTGGCCGGTCGCGGTAGTCTCAGGCCCCCGGCTGGGCGTCGGTTAGCGAGCCCAGGCATCATGCGCACAGGATCAAAACACACCACAGTACACACCACTTCACTCAGAATTCACAAAGAAACATGCTTTTAAGGCTTCGCAGCGCTGCGGGACATGGTCTGGTACATACCAGTATGTGAACCAGAAAAGTTCGATTCTCAGAAAAATTTGGCCTTTAACCTGGCATCATGGAAGGAATTCTTGACCCAACCAAAAAATCACTGATCGATATGTCTTGCTGTTGAGAACAAACCAATGGCGTTCTCTCCTAGATTCTATCTTTCTTTGTTTGAAACGACGGCAGGTTCGCATCGACCCCTGCCCCCATCCATCCGTGTTTTTTAAAAAATGGCAAATCAGGGCAAGCATTTACCACTGGCGTTCTGTCTTTCAAATTGCCGGCCATTTTCACGTGCACCGAGTACGCTCGCAATAAACTAACACCTCAGGTTCTTTGCCACGAGTAGTATCACTAACGCCGTGACATACTGTGGTGCATTCTGGACAAGCTCCAACACAAACGCCCATGAGGTCATTCATCAGCGGAATGCACAAATAGCTGATGACACTTGAAGAAAGTTCATACAATGTGGTGCAATTTTCCCCTTCCCACCGTCTGGGTAACAGCATGGCGAGGTAGTCAAGAGGCCCCGGCATGGTGTGAGTTAAATGCCAGCAAACACAGCAGGCCACCTGTTTAAACTGCTTTCTCACTACTGCTGTTGTCGTGAGGCTAGAGCCGCGAGTTCTTGACCTTAAACCCGCCCATTTCAGTCGCCTTCCGTGGTGATGACAGGGGCAAGACATGCAATGATCCGGAGAACAATCCGGGAGTGTGCGGCTTCTTGAACGAGTGTCCAGCACTGCAAGAAGCACACAGAAACAGGAACATCCCCCTCCTGCGCAAGGCGCTGTGTGGCACGGCTGGAACAACCAAACTGGTGGTAGGTCTGCCTTTGATCCGAACGGTATGAGCTGGTTTGTGTGCCAAATGGTGAAGATGTAAACACCGCAAACTTCCGTGCTCGCGAGAACCGTTCACACCTCGGCTGTACTTGTGACCTTTGGACGCACATCTCATCTCCTCAGTCGCATGCACCGAACAAAAAGATTTGCTACGATGTGTGTGGCGATGTGTGTGCCGCACATCCCTTCGTAGAAGGAGTAAAGAAGCCCAGCGTTCACCAATCTTTTGTAGGCTTATTTTCCCCAACAGACAGATTGCATTGTACTTTCTCCCTTAAAAAAGCGTAAGGTTTAATTAATATCAGCCATGCGTTATCTCTTATTGTGAGCAAGCTCATATAAACGGCTGGTAGGTTGACAGGAGTGTTCTACACAGAGATCGCATTCGGACAGGTTAATAGAAGTGTTCTACACAGAGGTCGCATTCGGGCAGGTTAATAGAAGTGTTCTCCATAGAGCTTTAATTCGGACAAAATTAGTTGGATCGCGTAAGTGATATCTCGATTTCTTGCTGGCGTCCAAATGCTTCATGTCAGTGGCACACTGACCCGATGTCGGCTATTTTACGAAATATGTCCAGCTCAGGGTATGTTGCACCATTACCTTTCAGTCATGCTGCTGGCGGCGTCTGGACCGATATCTTCCTCAACTCAGACATGATTTAGCCACACCTCTTGAGAGTAAACATCCGCCCCCCCCCCCCCCCCACCCAGCCGTCAAGGAACGCCTGACCTAGCCCACTAAAGAACATATATGAAATACCTACATACACTTTTTTAGCCAAAGAAGACTACTCAAAATTTACTTAGAAAACGTGCCGGCGTGGGGCTGTCACTTGGTTTTTTAAGATAAGCCAATTTAGTTAATTGCAAGCCTTCAAAGAATGACCAAAATGGAAACGGTGGAATTGCGCCGTCAACTTAAACTGCTGCAAAACCAAGTAAACAGCCAAGAGGAAATGCTTGACTGTCTGACAACGCAATTGGCCGAAATGATCATCGTGTTTAAGGACATACAGGCAGAAAAGAAGAAAAAGATGGTTGATGGCCAAGACGCAGGACTGAAAGACCTTCAGTTTGCTGTAAAACAAATGGACGACAATCTTGACTTTCTGAAACGGCAACACAGAAATTGTGAAGTCCAAACAAAAACCACTCATGAACTGGGAGTTTTATGCGGAGCCGCTACGGTAGCTGCTGGGAGTAAGCTAGATGCTGAAATGCAGGCAAGATATGCAAGGATGAATTTAGGCAATGCAAGTACACCAAGGCGCGGCAATGGACCGCATGTCGCCAGAAAACTAGAAGTGACCTCCGCCGTGGAACTCGAATCAAGGGAAAACGAAGGTGGAAAAAACGAGGGAGGCACAAGAACATGCAAGAAGGAAAGGAGCGGCATCCCAGTTGCTGAAGAAGCGGAACCAAGCAGCCAACTCACTCGAGGTACTTATGGAGAAGAAAACAACGAAGGGCGTCGACTAAACGAAAAGAGGGTTAATGCAGGAGAAAAGGTGTCAGACGCCGTAGGAAACGCAGATAGCGGTGATGCATGGACCAGAGTGGAGAGAAAGAAAGAGAAGCCGACGATACGAAAATGTGGAGCAGTTCTGATCGGTGGAAGAAACGCAAGCAGGATTAAAGCAGAGGCCATGGAAGAGTTTATTTTCGACCAAAACGTATCTTTTATTACAAGGACGAGTGATGAACTTGATGAGAGTTTAAAGAGCGCGGTCACAAGAAATAAAGCAAACGAAGCAGGTGTTGTGGTCCATATCGGGGCCAACGATGTGCTGAATCATAGTGCAGATTATGTTCTGGAGAGCATAAACAGTACTGTCAACCATGCAAAATCCTTGAAAAATATCAAACGAGTCTTCATTTGCTCGCTTGAAGAGAGACGGCACACTGGCACTATGGTTTATGAAACAGCAAAAACCGTCAACAGTGAACTCAACCAGCTGTGTGTCACCCATGGAGTAGGATTCATAGATATGCGGCCAAGACTGATGTGCGTTTTTGGAGGCCTGAACAAGACAGGTATCTTATACACGTTTGAAGGCGCCAGAAACATATCACAGCATATCATCAGCCAAGCGCTGGTTTTTTAGACTAGATGATTAGTTGATATCTGCTTCGGATCAATTTCATGAGAACAAATCACTTGACTCATAGTCTTCCGGAAATCTAAGTTTTCTTACGGCCAACGTGAATGGACTTTGTACATCCACTATGCAAGTTGAGCTTGGCATGATGTTGCACAAGTATAAGATAGGTGTAGCAATAGTCACAGAAACCCATTTGGGCAAGACCGTCCATGGTAACCAAATTTTCCAAGCAGGATATGCAGTACTACGACGTGACAGAGACTTATTGACGGTCAACAAAAGTAAGGATGGAGTAGTCGCCATGTACATAACAAATGACTTAGCATACACAGTGGCCAAAATTAAAGTCCCGGACGAGCTGGACGTTTGCTGGAACATCAATCGACCTTTGCCACCCGACAGCATCATAGTAGCTGGAGTTTACCTTCCTCCTGATGCATCATTCTGTCGCCGGAAAATGCTATCTAAACACCTTCTGGAAACACTTGATCGTCTTCCATCCTCAAGGCCAAGAGCAAAAACTGGCTTGGCGGGAGACAAACAAAACTTTTGATGCAGAATTGTTAGCGCGTCAGCTGGCTCTCTCGCAAATAGTTACGGAGTCCACAAAAGGTTCAGCCGTACTGTACAAAATACTGACTGATTTTGATTCTCCAAGCACACCACTAAACCTATTACCCATTGGTAGGACAGACCACAAAACTATCGTATGGTTGGCTGCAAAACAAGTAGAATGATCTCAAGGCTATGACTTTGTACGGCCTTTGAAGAGCTCATCCAGCAGAAGTTTTGGCAGATGAATTTGCTGCCAGGGCTGGCAAGATGCAATAGCAGAGCAATAAGTGATATAGACCAAGCTGCTGCTCGACTAGAACTGCTACTTCAAAATGCTTACGAGGAGCACTTCCCTGAAATTAAATACAAATGCAAGACAAGTGAGCCGCAGTGGATGACAAAGCGCCTCAAAGAACTGATAAACAAACGCAATAGGGCGCACAGTCGTCATCAAATGGAGAGACTATAAAAACTTAGAGCCAAAAAAAGCTTAGAGATTGCAGCTGCAAAAACGGCATGGCACAGGAAACGAATCCAAATAATTGCTTCTGACCGAAGAGGTTGTTGGTACGGACAAGAAGCCAACTTAACCAGCCGAAAACCAAAATCATGGAGCCTTGATCTTGCGGAAGCCAATGACGATAAATCAAAATCGGAATTAGTAAATAATTTTTTGGCAGAAATATGCACAACGTATGGACCGCTGCGCACAGAAGAGCTTCCCTGCTATCTGCCTGCCAATAGCATTCCTGCTGAGAAACAGCCGTGGCAAGCTGCTTTTCAACTATCGCAGTTGAGAGAAAATATGGCTGTTCCCACTGGACAACTTCCAGTGCGGCTAGTAAAAGAGTTTTCTGTGGAACTGGCCGTACCATTTACTTATAATTTCAAGCGATCATTGCGTGAAAGATGCGTGCCATTGGTGTAACAGAGAACAACAATCACCCCTGTGCCAAAGACATCATCGCCCAAATTGCCAGGAGATCTGAGACCGATAAGCCTCACACCAACTTTTAGCAAGGCTTTGGAACAAAAAATGTTGTTCCGCGAATTCTGGTGGATATAAAATCAAGCATGGATAAGCGCCAATATAAAAACCTGAAAGGTGCCTCAAAGTTACACTATTTGATTAGGTTGTTGCATGATTTGCTGACGGAAATAGACGAAGCACACAGATTATTTTCTATGGTTATGTACGATTTTAAGAAGGGGTTTGACCTCATTGATCACACAACAGTTATCAAGAACATGATTGCAATGGGAATTCGCTCCGGGTATGCAAAGTGGCTTCACTCATTCTTGCAGGACCGAGAGCAGCGGGTCAAGATGCCAGATGGAACCATAAGTCGTTGGAGAACTATAACATGCGGCACTCTGCAAGGCACCTTGGTTGGCCCGGTTGCTTTCCTGGCTATGGTTAACGGTGCCACTGCTGGTATTGACAACCGACTGAAGTATGTAGACGACCCTACCATACACCAGGCGTGTCTAATTGGCCAAGTAGATCGGCACTGCCAGTTGCAAGAGCACACTGACAAGACAAGTGATTGGACAACGACAAACAAGATGATATTGCACAATGACAAATGTCAAGTCATGCATTTTTTTCACGGCAAAAAACCATTAGCACTACCGGACATCATGATTCAAGGAGAAATGCCTGCCAACTGCCAGCAAAACTAAGCCTTTAGGTGTAGCAATCTCAAATGACATGTCATGGCAAGCACATGTGAATGAGATTGTAACCAAAGCATCGAAAGCTCTATATGTGCTCTACATAATGAAGAAGCACCATCCACCATAGGAACAGCTTGTTCGTGTGTATGTTACTTACATCCGGCCACTGCTAGAATATTGCGCACCGGTTTTCCATGCAGGACTCACTGCCAAGCAGGCGTAACACATTGAGAAAGTGCAGAAGAGAGCCTTGAAAATAATCTTCGACCATTCGAAAAAGTACTCGCACATCTTGCAACACTTGGACATGGAATCCCTCGCTGACAGAAGAGGAAAGCTGTGCCTAAGGCTAGGAAAACAAATGCAAGCGTCTCCCATGCATAGAGATCTGCTTCCAAAGCTGCGAGTGGCGATCTCCGGCAGAAATACCAGGAGCGCAAGCACACTGCAAACGTTTTGCTGTGGTACGCGATTACGCAATAAAGTATTTCCCATATGGCCACTCTTATAAACACAGATATATCATCAACTAAGTAAAATCCTACTTCATATGTATATTGCGCACATGTGCCATATGAGTTGATACTCGAAGCCATGCTTTTCCCAATAAACCGTCTCTCTCTCTCTCTCTCTCTCTCTCTCTCTCTCCTCTCTCTCTCTCTCTCTCTCTCTCTCTCTCTCTCTCTCTCTCTCTCTCTCTCTCTCTCCTCTCTCTCTCTCTCTCTCTCTCTCTCTCTCTCTCACTCTCTCTCTCTCTCTCTCTCTCTCTCTCTCTCTCTCTCTCTCTCTCTCTCTCTCTCTCTCTCTCTCTCTCTCTCTCTCTCTCTCTCTCTCTCTCTCTCTCTCTCTCTCTCTCTTCTCTCTCTCTCTCTCTCTCTTCTCTCTCTCTCTCTCTCTCTCTCTCTCTCTCTCTCTCTTCTCTCTCTCTCTCTCTCTCTCGTCTCTCTCTCCTATCTCTCTCTCTCTCTCTCTCTCTCTCTCTCTCTCTATCTCTCTCTCTCTCTCTCTCTATCTCTCTCTCTCTCTCTCTCTCTCTCTCTCTCTCTCTGTCTCCTCTCTCTCTCTCTCTCTCTCTCTCTCCCAGCCGTCCCGTGAGACAACAACAACAACAACAACAACAACAGCCGCCCCGTGAGACCAGATCATCAAATGCCAACACTAATATTGATTGGTGACCGTTTAAAGAAACAGGTGCAAGAAGCCATACGCTCATCTGGGTTTCAAGCCTAGACCCCAGGGACCAGCCGAAATGCGTGCAGAAATATTTGCGCCGTTCTGCCCTGTAGCGACCTCGTTCTTCATCTGGATATACATCATGCGCCACCTTCAACGCCGGACTGGAAGATCGATTTGCGACGAAAAACGCTTTATATCTGATGCTGTGCGACTTTGACCAACACATTTTTATTGGCGGCACGAAACAAGGCGTGTGCTTGTTTTTTATCGGGTATCTGGAGACTGTCGCGAACCAAATCGTGCGCACACCTCTCGACGGCCATCCGTCCGTCAGCGACCCAAACGAACCGCTTACCAACCATCTACACGTCAGGATTCTGCGCAGATGGAAGAGTGCTGACAGAAACTTTTCGAAGCCCTCCGTGTGAAAAATGCCGTCAGACCGTTTAATGCCATCAGTCTCACACCTCTTGGTGCCCTTTCACCGCGTTCCATCTATTGAGCGCCATTCAACCATGTTAACGCCAGATGGCGGTATCAACGTCAAATTGGCATAAAGTTTGGAACCCTTCGTCCAGCACCTGCAGCGACAGTGATGGGACAGCCATGTCTGGGGTGGGTGCGGGGGCTTTCGCCTTCTTTTTCGTCAATCCCTCACCTTTCTACCTACCTGATATGGTGAGCGCCCAAAATTTGTGCTTCCAACATTTTCTTTTCTTATACCTTTCTGCCAGCATACAAGTCAGGGACAGTAAACAGGTCAGTGTTATTAGAGTCCTTTAGTCACTAGCATCCAAAACGCCCCACGTCGATGTGGCGGCCCGGAGACTAAAGTGCAGGATCTGAGCTCACTTTGTGGCGGCTCTCTTTGACTGACTGAGAAGCTTGCGCTGGGCATTGCGGAGGATCCTATTTGAGCTTAACACACATTTGCATACACCGTCGTCGCGTGGTTACGTAATTACTTCCTTTCTCGAGAAGCGACAGCCTGTTGAGGGGGGTTCGAACTCACTGTCAGTTTGTCCAAGCCACCGCGCACGTCACTCCGGGCGGAGAGCCTGGGCTGGCATGCCAGCCTCGACGTACACCGTGTGGACGACAGGAATGACCGGGAAACAGCATGGTTTTATTTCCACCAAGGTGCTGAAGCGGATACGGGAAACCTTCCGTTGCCGATGTGTTACCAATGCTTGCTAGGTACCTGAAATGTCAGCGCTTGATGATCGACAGGAAAAACTAGTCATCGACATCGACAATGAATGACCGAGAACAAAATGAATCACCGGTGATCCACAGTGCAAAATCAGTGCATGGTATTTTCATTTATGTGTCCCTGCTGCAACCCTAACGAATCAGTGAAGCGATGTGTAGTCCAGTGCGGCCCCTTGCTATGTGTGCTTTTTCATATATCAACCATTTCGTAAAGGTTATGTGGCATCCTCACGCAAATCCTGTTATTTTGCAGAGTGAAGGTGCTACTGGGCGACTTGAACTTTGCCACGACCACAGAAGAAAGCACCCAGTACCCGCCCAGAGTGTACAATGTGGAAAAAGCCTTAAAACATCCGGAATATAAACGGGTTTTCAGAGGAAACGGCAAAAGATTGTTCAATGACACTGCCCTCGTTAAGCTTACGGAGCGCATCTCGATTTCCCGTAAGTCCTCACTGAATAGCCCACTATTTGCACGCAAGAAACAGCCAAGGGGATCCTAAAGCTTGCTCCAGGGTGGGTGCGGGCGCTGGCATTGCGTGGCCCATTGTTTCATTCAAGTAATCCTAGTTAGCACATTTCAGCCACAAATTGGACGACCCAGCGCACACAGAAACTTATCTCTCTGAACAAATAACCTCTAACCCTGGTTGCGAACATCACTTCCACATTTCAGTGGGGCTGCTGATTTAAAAGACAGTTCGACAACTTTTGCCAGTTGCAGTCAATACTGCTATTACGACCTTCAACTTATGACAGATTCGTGTATGACAAGTAACAAGCTTTTCTTGAGCAGCATTCCTTGTTATGCAAACCTTTCGGTGGTCCGGCAGTGGCATTCATTTGTAAACGTTTTTACTCACCTTTCCACCCTTTTACTCCACATAAGCATTATTGCCCTTCATGCCATCTGTTAGCCCTCGGTGTTGAGGCCTTCCTGCCCCCTCTCCCCCCCCCCTCATTTTTCTCTCCACCACACTGCATTTTGTGGATGGCCTGTTGCGCTATCATCCTAGCATCACGACACTAGCGGCGTCAACACATGTGTTTGATAGAAGTGTGCAGTAGCTTACCAAAAATCGGTGATGGGAGTTCGCCCTTTACCATGGTAGCATTGGTACTTCTCACCGTTGATATTCTTGGAGTTACCAACGTGTTTTTCAGCTTGCGGTCACACATGGTAAGTTTATTCAAGCCTAGGTGCCGCGCCCCGATCTCCTTTTTTGATGTCCTTTATTTCATGCTGGTAAATCAAGTATAGTACCGTCGGGGGTTTGAAGCAAACAAAGAGGCGTCGACTCATCTGTTTTTCAGCAAGTTATTATTTTTACACTAGCATACCTGTGATCTTTGAACATTTATTTTGCGTTGCGCAGGAATATTACTTAGGAATTTTCGATGCACGTGGATGGCCTAGTCGCATTCAGCGCCGTGTGTGTCAGGCATGTTCTCTGGTTCTGACTAGCTTCGGTATCTTAATTTCATGATTTTTGTACATTTATATATATATATATATATATATATATATATATATATATATTTACATATTATCAAATTTCCACCATATTTATACACGCTCCGTTTGGACATTTTCTTAGTCGTCGCTGGTCTCTGTCTGTGCTGACCCTGATTTGAATCCCGCCTGCTGATAGTAGGACCGATGGCTGCGGTCTGCATCATCGAGCATCGATAGCTTTTTGCAATCGATCTCTCCGCCTACAGCCGTGATGAAGCCGCTGTGCATCTCCGATTCCTCCCGCCCCGCCTCCGACCTGGACGGCAAGCAGGTCTACGTTGCCGGCTGGGGCGCGACCGAGTTCGGTGAGCAATGGCCCACTGCAGCCGAGCATGGAGGTGCCGGCAGATGCCGTGGTTAAGGGAGGAACAGAGCACGGGGTCCTGGTTTGATAACCAGCCGGAGGAAGGTGCACAGAGTGGATCTCGAGCGCCACCTGATCTGAGGTTCGATTTTCCGCCTGGCGCAGGTGCACGGTGTAATCTCCAGGCGAGGAAAGACCGCTGTTCTGATTCGAACATTTCATGTAGCCCGTCTCTGTGATGTCTTCGTCCAGCGGTTCGGCTCAGCTTGATCAGAGAGAGACGTGTAGCGACGCGGCGATCCGTATTGGACCAAGTCCAGTGGCGTGCTGTCCCTGCTATCCCAGCCAGGCACGACAAAACATTTAGCTCGGGTGAACTTCCACTCATAAGTCAGCTCGCATACACGCACCTATCACGCGTCCCCTACGGTCCGCCGCGGGGCGGCGGTCAGCGCCCGCTGCGGTAGGTCGCATTCCACCGCGCGGCCGAGGTCGCGCCGCGACACGGCAGGGTCGGCATGCTGTGCCGCCGGGCCGGCTGGGCGTGCTCACGAAAGGCTCCGACAGCCGACTGGCAACTATTGTCATCCCAATGCTGCTGAAGGTGGCGATAGATGATTAAAAGGCGCTTAGCTTGTAGAAAGCCAAGTCTTTGGGTAGAGCATGCGTAAAAGCTTTGCAGATTTTGGGACTCGAAGAGCTTGGCGGTAAAACCTTGGCAAAAAACGACTTCTTATCGCTGCCACAGGTTTAATAATGTATTCACCATGCTGAATGCGGTGGCCCAGCAGACGTTGTCAGCGCAGGCTCGGCAACCTGCCGCCGTCCGTGTACCAGATCTTTGCAGTTTTGCTCGCGGGTCATTTTTCAGCCTTTTTCCTTCCGCAATGCTTGGGGCATGAGCTTTTCCGAAGATGGTGCACAAGTATTGATGCTAAATCTTCTGCTCACCGCACATTTTTCTTTTGAATGGCTTTTGCGAGTAAAAAACTTCTTGGAACGGCTTACGACTGCACATAAGGGGCTTTTGCCCGAAGCCGTCTTCACAATGCACACGAATGTTACCAATGGGTAAAAACTTACGCAGCCACGTCGCGTGCATTGCAGCTGGGCCCACCGAGGCCTTGATGCAGTGGGCCCGGATCAACGTCACGCGCCACGCTCAGTGCCAGGAGACGTACTCCCGCCAGAACACGGCCGTGGACAACACGCAAATCTGCGCCAACGGCGAGAACGACCTCGGCGGAGTCGACACCTGCAGGGTGGGTGCAAAAACAGGCCAGGATGCCTTTTGTTTGAGGGCTGCACGTGCCAACATACTATGACAAACCGAGGGCCTAGCTAGGCTCCATATGGTTTTATGCCTCAAGAAGGGCATGGCTGTGAACCCCACCAAATCATCTTTAACATTGTCATCTCAGTTTAAAGCCCCACACAAATGTGGAACACTCCATTAAAACATTTTATGATACTTCGCTGGCTCGCATGTACCACTTGACAGCTTCTGGTATTCTGAAATGCCAACAAACGTGCGCTAATTCTGCTGTGCTCTCGTGCTTCGGCTGTGACATGATACCCCGGTCACCGGTCGGCGAACTCGGTCCGTATGATGTCTGACACTTTGGCGTCGGCAGGGCGACAGTGGGGGTCCTCTGATGGAGCGTCGGAACCACAGGAACCAGGAAACCTCGTACGCCGCGGGCGTCGTCTCCTTCGGCTCCGGCTGCGGCAGCGTCAACTTCCCGGGTCACCCATGCGGAGAGCTTTCTCGACTGGATCGGCTGCACGGTGGCGAAGAACTGACCACCTGACGATAGGGTGGCGGGGGGGGGGGGGGGGGGCGGCAGGAGCACTGCTGCAATAAAGCGTGATGCTGCGCTGGAACGTCCCTGTTCAGTGCGGAGGCATCCTCGTGCGGCGATGTAGCGTGCTTTTATTAATGCTTAAGAGTCCTTATCCGATGCCGAAGTGTCACTGTGTGTAATATTTAGGAGTCCTTGTGTGATGCGAAGAGCACCTGTGCATTCGGCGTCTTTGTGTTTCTCGAGCGCCCTGTGTTTTCTAAGTGTCTTTGTGTTACTGAATCATGCCCGTGTTTCTGAAGTGTGCCTGCATTGCTGAAGCGTGCCTGTGTTTCTGAAGCGTCCCTTTATTTCTGAAGCGTTCGACCGACGGACGCTAGGAACTCTGACACGGCGGGGTGGTCGGCTGGACGATGTTGAAGTGTGCGGTTTGAGTAGAATGTGATGTGACCAGGATGGAGGCCGTAACTTGGCGTCTTTTGACAACGCCACCGAGTGCTCCAGAGGCTGTGGGCTGCTGTCACCTAACACAGAATTTCTTTGCTTTGCTTGGTATTGTAGAAGGACTAGTCGGCAGCATCGATGCTTCCCTCCGGGGGTTTGGGCGCGTTGCTTTTTTATCTGGCTTGATCTGCAATCGCCTTACGCTGCCTTATCTGACAAATACACGCTTCATTTTAAGATGCCTAAGATTTTCAACCATTTCCCGAATTGCTCCCAGATGACGAAGTGCGATGATGTCTTTGACCGGGCATTTAGATGCATGAATTCGGAGTGCAGAATGCATCGTTCGGCACTGGAATCATGCACAAGTTAGCAATCACGTGGTGCTTTGCACAGTATGCTACTATCTTCATCTTGTTCACTTGCTGACGGGGCCGCCCATATATTACGTTACGTGTGCAACGAGGCGACGGGGAAGGGAGGGGGGGGGGGCTAACTTATGCCTTAAAGGGGCATTGGTCGTTTGATACTACCCTCAGGTCAGCTGACAAATCATGTTTGTACTTTTTTTTACTTTCACAAGCTTTAAAACCGGATAACGCCGGCTTCGTCTCACGACAAGTAAGGCCCCGTGTTTGTTTCACACTCTTCGCTCCATTTTCACACAGCGCACAAACAGTGCACGTACTAATCCCGTTGCAACGCTATATAGTATAGATACAGTATGTAAATATATATATATATATATATATATATATATATATATATATATATACACACAGTTAAAGGACAGTATACAGCGAATCGTCGTGCCATGAATCTGTTGGATCCTTGACATCGTCAAGGATCATCGTTGACATCGTCTATGAGAGAAAACGCAGCTTACGTTCAAAAGGATGGCAAAGACAACATACCAGTACCTCCTCGCATCCTGTTAATGTCATCAAAGTGGATTTAGAAGCTTATCACGTGTCGCATCGAGTGCTGTCGCTTTTTCAGGCCAGATGGTTCTTCTTGCTGCCCTGTAATTACCTATTCCCCAGGTGAGTGCACATCTTATTTTGGAGACAAAAACGCTGTCAAGATCACGTGGTGCTTTTGGTGATGTTTTCCCACACATGCGATGGAACTCCGTATGGAGGACATATTTACTATTCTAAAATCACACTTTGTTTCTCACCTTGCTTAAATGAATGTGGTTCAAAAAACGCGATCTCAAAGATTATGAAATTCCAGCCAAGAGGCTGGCTAAATAACCACTGGCATTCAGCATGATTCAGGGGATATCACGTGTTTGGCACATGCTCGTACTGCATGCGGAACCAAGTGTTGCGTGCGCCGATAGTGTACCCATCGCGACACTTCGTGAGCTACTAAGGTACACATCCCGATGCCATGGACGCTGTGCGAGAATGTAGAAGACATGGTGAGATAAGAAGAAAATAATGAGATGTGTCGTGTAGCGCCGTGACGCTTAGGGTTTAACGGCTCCGTACATGCGAAAGTCGTCCCAATGCGCAGATGACATTTCCACAGTTAAACTTGGCTGCGAAACCGTTCTGTCAGAGTATGTATTAACTATTTTTGAGATAATCCCAACTAACTGAAAGTTTAAAGAAGTAAGGGTCTGCGGGTCACAGAGACATATGTACAATGACAGAAGCAGAGGTCGTGGTCCCTTGCCGCGCCCTGACAAGTGCGGCCGACCATGGTGACCTGTGATGGCCATGGATAGGGTATGCGAGTCCCGACTCAGTGTTCTTACCATGGAGTAAGATCGGTGGCGTCAGTCAACACACAGACCCGTCACACAAACAGACATGAAGTTGTTGAATAAGCGTGCTCTGACCAGAGAGTGACTTGCATGTATGCAATAGCATCAAGTGATCGTTTCAGTGATCTGCTCTACCGCTAGGTCCGGATATTTGTGTTGCAGTGCAGTTACGGCGTGCACAATTTAAACATTTGTTTTGCCCAAACACAAACGTGCGTGCTTCCAGAATGTGTCCAGTCGTTAGGTTCCAAAATGTCAAAAATACTGACAAGCGAATATCAATGCCAGGACATTATGACACTGAGAGTTACCGCTGGTCCAGATGCTTGTCGCCGCCGTTGTGGCCATGGCTACCGCCGCGCCGACCGTAGCTACGGTGCCCTCACCTATGCCCAAAAGGCGTGCAAGATCCTGAAGCAGGCCGGTGTGTTCCGTGAAGACCAGTCCCTCCGAGTCGCAAAAAGCAATCCTTTTCTAACGCTCACGTCCAGAGCATTATCTGTAATAGAAATGAAATCCCGGAAAACGTTTCCTGTATGATCTGTTGCCAGCAACGATTAGTGCACAGGGTGATGTTAGAAGTTTGTTCTTATCATCAAATTATTTTTTTATAAATCTATTCCGTATGGTTTGCATCGGTGACTTCTGGTTCAGAGTACTTGCCAAGCATAGCTTGTTGCGTGTACCCTGAACCCACCACCCAAGTCGTGCCGTCCAGTTCAACGAACGATTTTGCCTCCGCCCTTTTGTCAGACAGGATTGCGGAGGCTTATGCGTGTCGCACATTGCTGCGGCAGGGCCACCCCTGAACTGGGTTGCCTTCGTTGGCCAGTTGTCAGCTGACCTTTCCACTTCAGGCAATGCGCCCACTCTGGTCCTTGTTCCCAGTGCCGCTGGATTACAAGTCAAGCAGCTTTCCCCTAGACAACGGAGGCGGCACGATCTGTAGGTGATTCAATGTTTCACTCATATTTATTTCGAAGCTTTGGGACTGGAAAGTGCATCTGCGTCTCCGAGTCTGGCAGGCCGGTGGAGGGATACTGCGATGAGGAGAGTCATAACGTCAACGGCCAGATCAGCTACACCGGTCCCGACGATGTCGTCCACGAGGTCGTCTACGTGGCCGACGCCAACGGCTTTCAGCCCCAGGGTGACCACCTGCCCACCCCCGTGCCCACCGATTACCCCACCCCGGAGGATGTCTGATGATGAGGAGGAGGGGCACGAGGCGCCTGGGCGATGATGATGACGATGATGAGGCTCCCCGCGCTTACTACCAGCCCCAGCCTCAGTATGAATGCGTCATCGTCGGCTTAAGGCTCCGCTAGAATTAAATCTTTGTTATTTTATCCTTGTGTTCAATATTCCATTACATGGGATCGACACGCTTGTTTAGGAGCGCCTTTCAAGCGAACCATTATAGGTCTTCACAAAAAATGCGATGGCAAACCTTGGCAACCGATGGCAAATTCCTTGCCGGCTTATTCCTAGTAGTCTTGGTGAAACGCCTTGTTTGGCGTCGAGTGAGCTGGGTGAAAACAAAGATAAGCCTTATCACGTGAGATAGTAATACAAGGTAGAATGAAGAAAAAGTGAGAGGGAAGAGAAGTGAAAGGGGAGGGCTGAAGTATCACGCGGTTTGGTGCTGGGCCGCGCGAAGAGATCAACTGGTGGGTCAAGAAGTGCGAGGGATTTGGTAAATACGGCTGACGTTCTGCGTTTTAAAGGTTTAGCACGGACGCGAGGCTGAAGGTAATTTGGCCAAGCGGTGAAAGGGCACTGGCGCCCAATGTGGCATCGCACGGTGTTCGAGGGCGTTGACGTGCGCTTCGGCACGACGGCTGGCTCGATAGCCGGCGCCGAGGCTGTCTCGATTTTGCCGTTGGAGGCAGCCACATGGAGGCGCAGCGGCTCATCATGTCCCTCGCCAATCCCACGTCGCGGCCAGGCACGGCGTGCCGACCACGCCGGTACATCCATGACGGTGTCCTTCGGCTGTGGCGGAAGTCTGCTGGCTGGTTGGACGGTCTGTTTTTTTATTCTATTTTAATTTAACTTTAATTTATTTTTAAGCCCTGACTTTGCACATGCACGGACGGACTGACGATCCGGTGTCTTCTCACCACTCGTTATCAGTTGCTTTGCCCAGGCCGATTGACTGGTTAGTCATATGACGTTCGTGCATGCTTAGCCTCCTTTTCCGTTAAGTTAATCGTTTGCTTTTGTTCCCTCCCTTTGCTTTTTCTTTGGGGGCGGTGAAACGGTCTTGCCGAGTCCCGTCCGGAGCGCTTGCACGCATTTCATCATCCGCGCGCTGTCCTCCATTGCTTATCGCTCGTCCGGCCCAGCTGACTAGGTGATTTTGCATGGTATCGGTGAGTGTGTAATTTTTGTCTGTTAATATTCTTGTTTGACTCGGTACTGTCTAGCTCCGCTCAGCGCGTACGCACGGATTTTTTTAACGAGAGCGTGTAATTCCAGTTCCCTACTTTTCTCTTTGTGTTGCTTGGCCTGGCTCGATTGACTGACTGGTCAGTGCACGGTGTCCGTGCTCGCCTGGCAAGGGCCTCTCCCGTCCTGGAGGGATCTGCTACAGACGCCGGAGGCCCGGCACGAGAGAGTACGGTGTCGATGTCTCCGAATCAACCAACCTCCCTCCGACCGCCTGAAGCGAGCGGTCGGAGCGAGATTGCCCGCCATGGGTGCCGAGACATCGCGGCGAGGTGTACCGAACCCGCTATGTCTCGAGAGACCGTGCGTGATAGCGCGAGACCAGAGGAGGGCACTCGCAAGGTGCCGATCGGGGTAACGTTTA